ACAAGCAGCATGAATTTTCTCATATACAGCATAGTGTAGCACTATATATAGGATGCTGGTCTGAATATTCGACTTTGTTGAATAACTTGCGTGCACTTTAACTGTCACTTCCTCAATGTAGTCGTTATTATTTGAGCCATCTTCCAGCTATGTTTATATGATAAGCACTATTATTCATTTTTGTTTCCCTCACAGTGTCAGTCACTGAAAGGCAAACAAAGTATTGGGTTGGTGCAAAAGTAATAGTGATATTTGCCATTTTTACCATTTAAAAAAAGGCAAAAACCACAATTACTTTTGCACCAACCTAATTAACACTTCAACTCCTTCAAGTTATACAGTATATAATAAAAATGTTGAAGATATTTAAGTTCAGCTTTAAAGAGCAATTATGAGAAAATAGATTTGCCAAAGATGTCTTTATAGTGTGCACCTTTCTTAAAACTATTACTTGGCTTTTAAAAAATGTCATTTGTATATACTTCAAGAATGCAGTCGTTATGTAAAGGAAGTACACTTGTATTAAATGTCAGCCCTTGGCCTAAGAGAGGTGATGAAGTTTCAGGGATGCAGAGTTTATTCTCTTGTTCCTCAGCAAGATCTAGGAAGGTTTCCAGTTAGGACCAAGATGGAAAACCAGTCATCAATAGCAACTTAAGATTTTAACTGGTCATATTTCCTGTTCATAAACTCATTCAAGGGTCTACTTTGTAACCTTTTTTTTCAAGTTAAATAGAAAATATTTAGGGTTTCATGTCTGAGTTGTTACAGTCAAGAGCCACAGAAAACTCTCCCTTGTGCCTGAAAAAAAGGTCATTTTCTGTTTTCCAGTGACAGTAAAAAATGCATTTATATGCTATAATGAATCAGTTATAATTGATAATTGATTCATTGTAATCAATTATAATGATTGACATGATTTAATGTATATACATTTTGTATTAGCATTTTTTATATTTGGAAAAATGATGAGACTCAGGCTATGGTTAAATCAAAATCTGGGAAAACCACCTCTTTGGTAGGTAGCATTCATTTTTGTGATGTAGACATTACCTCCCTATCAGATATCACCACATCTTCCTATATATGATACATACTTCTTCAGGATTTTCTAGGCAATTTTAGATTTATAAATTTGGAGCATAAAAAGGTAAAGACAGACCCAGATCTGTTGGTCAAATCAAAAGTTTTCCTCTCAAAATAATCTTATTCTCTGCATTGGAAACTATATACCAATTTATATGCCAGGCTCATTAACATTATTTGGGAAAATATATGAGGCCATGAATTGGATGAGGAATCAATAGATCTCAATTTTCCACGAGTTCTGCCATCAACTCACAAAGTAAATGACTTTAGTGAAGTCACTGATTGTCCCTAGGTATACACATTGAACAACTCTATAATAGTCTATTCAGTCTATCCAGTTTTGCTGCCTTTAAAAGTATTCTAGAACAGGTAAGATTGTCTCAACTCATTCCAATTTTTCCTTTTTGTCAAAATTCTTTCTGATACCTGGCATCAGGCTGTACCAAACACTAAATTTTAGAAGATAGCATTCCTTATAAACTCTATTTCTCTTAAGTAGTAATTTTTTTTAATAGAATCCCCTGTTCAGCAATTTAACAAAGCTCTGCCTTAATCCAGATGTATGACTCACCTCTCGAGGCCTACACAGTATTAATTTTCCTTGAGAATGCCAAAGGTCATCTCATCCTTGTTACGACGTTTTTTGAGAAAGGAAAAATTCTATCAATATCTTTAAAGGTGCTTTGGAAAGGGAAAGAACACAGCATGTTTTTAAATCTTGCGTTTCAATAAAATAAAATCCAAAGTCCCTTGCTTCATGCCGTTTCACTTGAATAATTTTTAAGCTTGTTTGTTTGTTTGCTTTATAGATGGAGTCTCGCTCTGTCGCCAGGCTGGAATGCAGCGGCACAATCTCGGCTCACTCCAACTTCCACCTCCCGGGTTCAAGCGATTCTCCTGCCTCAGCCTCCCAAGTAGCTGGGACATGCCACCACGCCCAGCTAATTTTTGTATTTTTAGTAAAGATGGGGTTTCACTATATTGGCCAGCATGGTCTCGATCTCTTGACCTCATGATCCTCCCGCCTCAGCCTCCCCCAAAGTGCTGGGATTACAGGCATGAGCTACCGTGCCCGGCCTCTTTAAGCATTTTAAATGGCATTTAGCCAGAGTTTATAATACTAATCCTAATGGTAACACATATACATTCACCTGTGTCACAGGTAACGTATATGTTAAAATATCTGCACTAATCCCTAGTTCATATGGATATGCAGAAAACAACACACACATACACACACATCTTTATTTAAAACAAGGGAAAGCACCGTCACTCTTGGGGAAAAAGTCCTCAACCCTTTCCTTAGCCCCACATGATACACAGAAGGCTCTGTCCTTGAACGGTCAACAGAGAATTCTCACATAGTAAGGAGTGTTGATTAGTAATTAAATAATGACATCCACAAGTCAAACTTGAGCTGTTTTAATTAGATAATTTTACACAAATTCCTAGTTAGCCAGATTTATTTGGTTATTCTAAGTGGCCAAATAAATCTGCAACACACCACAATTATTTCTCCCACACATGACGAATAGCTAATAATTTTAAAAACCTATTGCCATACAGAACCATACTTTCTTACTATGTTATGCCCTGGGGGTTAGCTTCCACATGCCACATTTCTATCATGCTTTTCAATGAATTATGCATTATGCAAGTCAGAAAAGTTTAAAGAAGCAAAAAAGTATGAAAAACAATAATTCATGTATTTTATTATAAAAGTGTGCTTTATTATAAGGAAAATTTAAATATAACCAACAATACTGAAAATAATGTAAGTGGCATTTATAGCCTTGGTCAAAGTTCTTTATTAAACAGGCATTTGCTGTTCCATGAATAGTTAACAATTAGTTTATGCAACAAAATAGATAACTTGAAAAAGTGAGTAAGAATACAGAATGATGAACCAGGAATCTGGAGTTCTTTTGTGTTTTTTCTTGTTTAACAGACACGGCTTTTAAAATAAAATCTGAAATATAAAACAAGTTATCTTCATGTAGAGAGCTCTCTTTTCCTACAAGAAGGTTTTGCAAAAATGTTAAACAGTGTTCTAAAAATGTGGCTGAAGTTATACTTTACATACTTTAACTTCTTATATATACATTATCCAATTAACATTCTAACCACATTTTCATATACAAGTGGGACCATAAACATTCTCTAATAAGACTACACTAGCACAGAGTAATTTTACCCATGTATATATATTCATTTGAAACCTGTTTCCCAAAATGAAATCGCTCATTTAAAAGCAAACAACTGGTTAGAATTAATGTCTCTAGATACTGGGTCATGGGGCCTAGAAATCATGTAAGAGTATATTGCTTTGGTTGAATATAATTAAATTCATCTTATCTGGCAGCATACTGAGCATATCAATGAACAATGAAAATCTAGTACATCTGAGTTAATCCTGCACTAATTTCAACTATGAGTGTACATTAAAGCAATGGCAAGGCCTAATGGTATATATGGTAAGGGCAGATATTCATTTTGTCTTTACATAGGGTTATGCTCATAAAAATTTGTTTCTATTACTCTAGAGGATGTTTCTAAGAATTAAAAACAAAAAACAAACCATATTGGCTGCTGATCAATGAGACTGTGGGTTGGCAACCATCCTAAGGAAGAACAGAAACCCAAGGGAACAGATGTCTACAAAGGACTGTAATGTGTAGGCCTAGTGAAGAACAAAGAAATAAACTGTGAGCATACTGATAAGGATCCCAAATTATTTTTAGGACAGGAGAGATTTTTTAGGTGTAAGATCTTAAAGAATATAAAACATGTTGGATCTTAAGTTTAAATCACTTTTTTAAAAAAAACTTTGTGACATTAAATGTCAAGATCAAATTTTTTTTTTTTGAGACGGAGTCTCACTCTGTTGCCCAGGCTGGAGTACAGTGGCGCGATCTCAGCTCACTGCAAGCTCCGCCTCCCAGGTTCACGCCATTCTCCTGCCTCAGCCTCCCGAGTAGCTGGGACTACAAGCGCCCACCACCATGCCCGGCTAATTATTTTGTATTTTTAGTAGAGACAGGGTTTCACTGTGTTAGCCAGGATGGTCTCGATCTCCTGACCTCATGATCCGCCTGCCTCGGCCTCCCAAAGTGCTGGGATTACAGGCGTGAGCCACTGCACCCGGCCCAAATTTTTAAAGATATAGAATATGGAGAACTGCAAAATAAAAAGAGGAAGCAGATATATGCTTGATGAGGGAAAAATGCGTTAATGATCTCTCATCTAAAAGACTCTTTTCCTTATTATCATAATGACTAAATTGCCTGTCCATAAACCCACTGGAATATGTAGGTTACTGACATTATGCCAATGAAGTCAAAATGTACTTTATTGCAAAAATATAAAAGTTTTAAAATTGCATATGATATTTTATACCATTTCACCAATAGGCCAAGGCCAGCACATAACTTATCAAGCTAGAAAACTTTAAAACAAAAATGATTAAAATGTTACTGTGTATAACGAGTTATAAAAAAAAAAAATGTGATGCCATGCTGTGTAGCATGTTTAATTGCCAAGTGCCCTCTTACATGGGGATAGTCACTAATATCTCAGTCTGAGTAAGTAAAACACATATAGCCTATGATAACATCCTTTAATTATCTTCTTAAACACAGATACTTTCTATATATTACAATCATTTTAATAAACCTTTCGGTCATAATTTTGTGGAGTACAAAGTCATTTTATCAGTATGTTGATTTTTTTCTGAACTACTCTTTAGGAAGTGATGTTAAAGCCTATTGACTATTAAATCACTACTGTTTATTGATACGTTGTAAATGTAAAAAAAGGAAAAAACCTGAAATCACAGAAAATGCTTGGCATCTACACAAACACATTCTCAGTGGACTAACCACTACTGTGTAATTTTGTCACTATAGGTCTTGCTCCAAACTTTTGCTTCATGCAGTGGGTTCAACAATATCCATGTTTGTTCCAAACAGGGCAACTAATTGTTCTTCATAGGTAGCGATGTTCCTTTTCATAATTTCCATGCAAGGTCCCAGAAGCCTTTCAAATGCCTGCACATCCATTGCTAAGAAAAGAGAAGATTTTTTTTTAATAACATTCTTTGCAAATCTGCAGAATTTCCAAGTCATTACAATTATTTCTAAGTCATATACAATACATTCCATATATATCAATAATGCAATGATATTTTAGGTAAATACTATAAAATACAAGAAAAAGCATAATGATAAAAATGTTCCACTTGAAAAAGGAAGCAGCCAGGGCCACACTCTGCAGTCCCTTGGCAATATGATGAACAATGCTAAGTTGGTGGGAGGTTCCTGGTCCAAGCTGACAAAAGAATGAGGGACTATCATGGAAAGACCTTAGGATTTTAAAAAATAAATGTGCTGTCTCCACCTTAGCAATGTGTACTCCTCAAAGATGGCACAGGAGTGTTTTCTATCCTGTGTTCCCTTCTCAGGGTTTAAAATGCCATGTTGTGAAGGCCAGGTGTTAACTTTTGTAATTTTTGCTCCCCATACAAATTTGGATCCCTATGCAATCCAAAAATGGCAGCTGACATAATGCTTCTGTTTACTTCTATAAGTACATGCTAGATATCACATTGCTTGCCTGTCTCCTGGATCTTAAAACTGGATTCATAATATATAGATAGAAAATATGACATACTCTATATATAAAAGTACAAATTAAAATATATCTTCTTCGCCTTTTAAATTAGCAAAGATAAAAAAAGGCAATGTTGACAAGAATAGGGTGAATGGGCACTATGGCACCGCTAGTAGCATGTAAATTAGTACAAATAAAGGTAATCTGGCAAATATGTGTCAAAAGTTAATTTTTTAAAAGCCCACTCCTGAAAACCATTTCTAAGGAAAACTCCTATAATACAGAAAAGCCTTCTATGCACAAAAAAATTGGTCCCCACCAAAACGTTGGAGCCAAAACCTTCAAAGTATTTACCAGTGAGGAATGATTAATTTATCATGTATATATTTACCTAAAAGTATTACCAATATTTACCTATATATAATTTATCATGTATATATTTACCTAAAAATATTACCAATATTTACCTATATACATGTATATATTTACCTATCATGTATATATTTAAAATTTGGTGTAACAGAATAAGAACATTCCTAAGCATAGTGAACTTTAAAAGTTGTTTGGAAAACTGTTTAACAACTGGAAGCCCACACAAATAAAAAGGACAAGAAGAAATTATAATAGCAGAAATCACTAAGTGGCAGTGGTATGTTTTTTCCTACATTTTCTGTATCTCAGGTTTTCTTTGATGTGAATGTAATAATCTATTATTGAAAAAAATTAACAGAATTTCACTCACCTCACCTTTACTCTTTCTAATAGCTCTACTTAGGGAAATTAACCTGTCAGTTTCTAATTGTCTTCTCTTCTGTCCAAATTTAACACTTGATTAATATTATACTTATTTAAAACCTTTTAAAGAATGACTTCTCTAAGAAGTTAATTCTAAGGATCCTTGCAAATCTTGAAAACATTAAAACTAAGTTTATTCTATTGAATTATGGATGAAAAGCACAGAGAGGGTAATTACTGTGGGATCAATTTTCTTAAAATATTCACCATATTGCCACCTCCTGAACTATATTTTCTTGTCAAAGTAAGTGATTTCTCAGATATACAATCTCAGATATACAGAGATGTCTGCACCTGAAGACGGCATTTCTGCCAAGCTACTCTGGTAAAATAGTAATAACGACTGAACAGCAAAGAACATTTGACTGTGCTTTGACAAACGTGAACCTTTGTTTCCCAGTACTCTAATGAGTAAGGATTCTCCCAGCATCTCAGCATTCCCCGCAGATCTTAATAATGGACTTTATAAAAATAGTACCTTAGCCTTCTCTTTTGAGGAACATAGCACATGTTGCTTATTTGAGAGATTCCATATAAAACGTGGTACTTGGAATTCTTATTTTAATGACAAATATGAGATGTTATTTCATATATACACAAACGAGCAAAATGTACCTGGATGTAAAAATTTCAAAGAAAAAATGGCTTCCACAAATTAATTTTGTAAGGCAACGAGTCCTAATCTTGTTACCTTTTGTGGGGACCACAAAACCTGTGAACCCAATAAAATGATTCATTCAACATGAATACATAAAATGCAGACATAAGTTCAACCAGGAGAAGCACGCCCACTGTTGCAATCCCTACCTAAACATTTGACAGTCCCGATGGCGTGCGCAGAAGCTGCTCGAGGTTTGTTAGTTACCAGAGCAAGCTCTCCAAAGTACTGTCCCCGCGAACATCGAGCGATTTCTACTGCACCATTCTCTTCCACTTCTGATTTACCCTGACAAGGCAATTAAAAAGATGAGCTTTTCCTCGGCTTATGAAAAATAAAATTAACCTCAGTCTAAACATCAAAAAGTAAATCTGTTGTGTTCCTTGCTAACAGTATGTAGGCTTTGAGGACTTACAATGCTTACCTTTCTTTTCATAGTAATTTTCACTTCTCCAGATTCTACAATGAAAAAAGAATCAGCCGAATCTCCCTATCAGAATAACAAAAATAGACGGTGAAAATGCAAATTAACTGACAACAATCTTGTTACCTTTCATATATCCCTAAAATTGATCCAACCCCAAAGTACAGATATTGACCTGAAAAGTGAAATCCCATGGGAACAGGCTATCTCAGTTTCTAAATCAAGAGGTTTTTTTTTTTGAGACAGAGTCTCGCTCTGTCGCCCAGGCTGAAGCAAGCTCCATCTCTCGGGTTCACACCATTCTCCTGCCTCAGCCTCCCGAGTAGCTGAGACTACAGGCACCAGCCACCACACTCGGCTACTTTATTTGTATTTTTAGTAGAGACGGGGTTTCACTGTGTTAGCCAGGATAGTCTCAATCTCTTGACCTCGTGATCTGCCCGCCTCGGCCTCCCAAAGTGCTGAGATTACAGGCGTGAGCTACCGCACCCGGCCCTAAATCAAGAGGTTTTGATGGACAATTATGTAGTAATGATTTCATTTGTAAAATTATTTGAAATAATACTCTTTCCCCCCCGAGATGGAGTCTTGCTCTGTCACCCAGGCTGGAGTGCAGTGGTGTAATCTCAGCTCACTGCAGCCTCCACCTCCTGGATTCGGGTGACTCTCCTGCCTCACCCTCCCAAGTAGCTGGGATGACAAGTGTGTGCTACCACACCCGGCTTATTTTTTTCCCCTTTTTTAAAAATTTTACTTTAAATTCCAGGATACATGTGCAGAACATGCAGGTCTGTTACACAGGTATACATGTGCCATGGCGGTTTGCTGTACTTATCAACCTGTCATTTGGTTTTAAGGCCAGCCCCACATGAATTAGGTATCTGTCCTAGTACTCTCCCTACCTTCACTCCCCACCCCGTGACAGACCACAGTGTGTGATGTTCCCCTCCCTGTTTCCATGTGTTCTCATTGCTCAGCTGCCACCTGTGAGTGAGAACATTCAGTGTTTGGTTTTCTATTCCTGTGTTAGTTTGCTGAGAATGATGGCTTCCATTTTCATGCATGTCCCTGCAAAGGATCACATTCCTTTTTATGGCTGCACAGTATTCCATGGTGTATATGTACCACATTTTCTTTATCCAGCCTATCACTGATGGGCATCTGGGTTGGTTCCGTATCTTTGCTATTGTAAATAGTGCTGCAATAAACATACGTGTGCATGTGTCTTTATAGCACAATGATTTATATTCCTTTGGGTATATACCCAGTAATGGGATTTGTGGGTCAAATGGTATTTCTGCCATCAAAAAGTGGGCAAAGGATATGAACAGACACTTCTCAAATGAAGACATTTATGTGGCCAAAAAACATATGAAAAAAAGCTCAACATCACTGATCATTAGAGAAATGCAAATCAAAACCATAATGAGATACCATCTCACACCAGTCAGAATGGCAATTATTAAAAAGTCAAGCAACAATAGATGCTGGTGAGGCTATGGAGAAATAGGAACGCTTTTGCACTGTTGGTGGGAATGCAGATTGGTTCAACCATTTTGCAGGACAGTGTGGCAATTCCTCAGGGATCTAGAACCCGTATTTATTTATTTATTTTGTATTTTTATTAGAGATGGGGTTTCACCATGTTGGTCAGGTTGGTCTCGAACTCCTGACCTCAATGTGATCCACCTGCCTCAGCCTCCCAAAGTGCCGGGATTACAGGCGTGAGCCACTGTGCTTGGCCCTGAAATAATATATTCTCTACCACCGTATTTCTGCTAAAAACCAAGAAAATGTGACAAATAACACTGGGGTAAGAATTTCACCCAAATTTCAGCCTAGATAACAGCATACATAGTTGGAAATGGCAACACTGCTGTGTATGCCAGCAGCATCCCCTTAGTTGGCAGAAACATATCTGCAGATCCTGAGCTCCTTAGGAAGTGCCAAGACGTGCACCCTGCGTCATCCTAACATTGCAAGCATTGGCGTGGTGACCCAAGATAACCCGTCAACTTGCAAAGAGCAGAAAGCACCCAGATGGAGCCGGAAGCAGCAGATGTGGGCCTTGACATTTTCACTACAGTCAACTGAGGACCAAACTCTGACATGCTAGCCTACTGACATTCCATTTCAAGGCACTGGAAGGACTTCTAAAAGAGAAGTGTTGCTATTTCTACCCATATATCTGTTCTTTCTTGTTTCTGTTTCTTAATGAACTCTGCCTTGACCTCCAGTGATGCAGTCTGAATTAAACAATACAATATGGAAGATAATAATACAGACACTGACTTTTCTAAGCCTCTCAAAGTGATTCTGGAGAAATTTAAAATATTTCAAAATTCTTTAATACAAATTCAAGAAGTTTAGCATCTGATTCTGTCACAAAAATAAATGTTGAATTTAGATTTTTAGAATATAGTGTGTATATATGTATATTTATAAATGCTTAAAAGACAACAAATATGTAAAAATATCCTTAATAAACCCTAAGTATAGCATATGTCCTTTCCCTTATTTTTATATCAGGTTTTCATAAAAGCTTCATATTAAGTTTTTGAGTGTTCTGAATCATAATAAGTCTATTAACTGCTGAGTAATTTTTAACTATTTTTAAAGCATGCCCTAAGAACTGATGAAAACTGAATACGGTCTGTGAATTATGCCAATGTCATTTTCCTAGTTTTGATATTGTTATTAATAGTGATGCAAGATGCATTAGGAGAAACTGGGTGAAGAGTACACGGGACCTTTCAAAACTATTTTTGCGACTTCCTGTGAATCTATAATTATTTCAAAATAAAAACCTTTAAAAATCATTTAAAACATGCTCTGTGCTTTGTTATTTACCAATTTATATAGTAGAACTTTAACTTTATTTGACTCCATTTCTTCCCAATCCCTGACTGCTGTAACACACACACACACGCAGCAATGGGAGAGGGGTGCTGATTGAAAGATTTACTTATGCATTTGTCTTCTAAAATAATTATCTTTTTCTCAATCTCAAAGACCTTGAATCTTGTTTCCCATATAAAGGAAGAGACTGCATTTCAGATAAAGAGCACAAAATAGTATAAGGCTGTGATACAAAAATTACAGTATCTATTAAAAATCCATTTTAATCATTTGCTCAGTGCTTCACAAATATAACTAGGAAACAAGGTACTATCATCTGCATGCTTCACCTATGAACAGTCTTCACAAATTCTACTTTTAGTAGCCCTACTCCAACCCAGGTATCTAATATTATTGGTTCCAGCTGGGATCTGAGAAAAGTATTAGGGATTATATAGCATGTTGACCCACATGTAGTGCTTGGAAGCCAAAACATTATATGTTGCAGGGTGTTCCCTTCTTGGTGACTTTTATCAAGGAGCAGCCTCGGGAAGTTTCATCATGAAATGATCACGCAAAACTCTACAGAATTTTCCAGTGTACTTTCTGGGTCCTCATGGAAGATTCACCTGTTTTTTCCTCTTATAAATGACTACAATGATGCAGAAAATCATTTGATGGTTTAATACATATTCATTAAGAGTTAATTACATAAAAATATTCAATAGCGTAACTATAAATGAAACCATTTTTAACAGGTTATTTGGTAGAAGTAATATTTATTTAACCCATCACTGCATACTAGTTTTAGAAACATGAAAAGTTTATCAAGATCTACAACTACACAAACCTTTTGGAAAATAACCCTAAACTGAATTAGATTTCAAAATATCATACCTGAGCAATGATTTGTTCTCCATCGTTGTATACTTTGGTGCCTATCACATCTACTACTTTCAGGCGTTCAGAAAACTACAAAGAAAGAAAGACAATATTAAATAGAAAGAAATTAACTGGGTAAGCTGATCTATTTAAGAAGTAAAAAACTGGTAGCCTACAGGACAAATAAATTGAGCAGTGTGTAGGTTGTTATGTGTTTGTTGTATTATCAGTCAGCATTTTAAAATAAATTTTTCATAAAAATTGGATCTCCAGCTTCTCTTGAAAAATCAGCATCACATAACCCATATTTCCACATGGCAACAGTAACACTATGGTGGGATAGCAGCTGTTTCTTTAATGAAATACATGTTCTCCAATCTGCCAAAGTCCCTTCCTGGCTTCGTTTTCTTCTCTGTGTTACCTGCCTAGCTTTGAAGGCACTGGATTTCCAATCCCTGACCTACTTTTATTTAAAGAAATATGCTGCTGGAAAAGATCAGCTGTCTACCACGCACTACGTGATATGGACAAAACTTCTACCAGGCGTAAGCTGATAATCCAACAGAGACATTCAAAAGGAGAAGCACAGATGTTTTGACACTTGCCATTTTACAAGACGTTGTGGGTACATATATATGCCTGTCTTTAATTACTCTCAAAATATTTCAAATATGACAGTGAAATAGAAAAGCATTTAATTTAATGATAAAGTATGGAAAATGAAGCTGAATTTTTAGAGTAACAACAACCTATTCTCTCTCGTTAAGGCTCTACCTTCAAAGATAAAAACCTAAGAACTGGTCTCATTGAGACGACATCTGGGCTAAGAAATGAAGGAGCCCTGCGGCCGTGTAGGAAGGCATTCCACACAGACAGCAAGTATGAAGACCCTGAAGTGGGTGTGGGACAGGTGTGTTTGAGAAGTGGCAAGAAGCTGATGTGTCTACAGAGAGATGATGAATGTGGAGCAGTAGGAAATGAGGTTGGGGAAAATGGGCAGGGGAATGGGACAGACTGTGCAGAGCCTTAGAGGCCATGTGAGGAGGAGCTTAAACAGAGCAGGGCCACAACCAGGGATTTTAGAAGATTATTCTGCAATTAACCAGGCAAGAGGTGATGGTGGTTCAGATAAGTCAGTGCTAACTCGAAGGTTTCTGGCCTGAGACACTGGAAGGATATGTTACCATCTGCAGGGAGAGAGAAAAGGAGTAGATTTGGGACATACTAGGTCTGAGAGGTCTATTAGACATCTGAGAGGAGATCTTGTATTTGCAGTTGGATAAGTAAGTCTGACCTTCAAGGGAAGGGCCTTGCCCAGTGACACCAATTTTAAGAAGCATCAATATATGGACAGTACAGATGGTCCCTGACTTACAATGGCTCAATTAATGATTTTTCAACCTTACAGTTGTTTGAAAGCGATAGAAACTATACTTCTAATTTTGAGTTTCAATCTTCTCCCAGGTGATATGCTGTACAATGCCAGGCAGACAGCCACAACACCCAGCCAGCCTCACCACAATGAGATGAACCCATGCTCTCCAGTGCACTGTGCTGCCAGGTGACTGTTCCCAACTATAGGCTGATGTGAGTGTCCTAAGCATAGGCTGAGCTAGAATGTTCCATAGTTTATGTGTATTAAATACATTTTCTATTTATGATATTTTCAACTCACAATAGGTTTATTCATAAGATAACCCCAGTGTAAGTCAAGGGACATCTGTATTTAAGGCCATGGGATCTGACATGTTCACCAAGTGAGTAAGTGTATCCTGAAAAGAGAAGAGGCCAAGGACAGAGGCCTGGAATGCCAGTTTTAAGAGGAGAAGAAAAGAGGAATAAACAGCAAAGACGACTGAGAGGAAGAGGCCAGAGAGGACATCTTCTATCTAGAGAATGCCTCCCTGTAAAGTTACAACTAGTGGCTCTTGCCTACATCTATGTGATTGTATGACGTCTGCTATTAGATAAAGACCACATATACATGTGCTATAGATGCGGGGTAGGAATGCAATTATACAAAACAACTTTCAAATAACAAAACAAATGCAATTATAGATAGCAGAAGAAACAATGAGTTATAAAAACTAGCATTACCACTTAATCTCTTCAAATAAAAACATGGATAAATTTTTTTTATTCAAGGAAATTTTTCTATAGAACTAAATATTCCTAGCAAAACACAAACTTTTAAAGCAAAATAAAATAAAAGTATAAACATGCACTTACCTCCAAAGATTTAAGGAATGGCAGTGACTCAATAAAGCTTTCATACATTTTTCTCTTTTTGGCATTGTTTTTCACAATTATTCTCCTGAAGGTTACCCTGTCCTAAAGGCAGAATATCAAATAAAAGACAGTTAAAAGGTAAATTTTATGGGGGAAAAGCTATACAAATAGTTTTATTTTATTCCCTACAAGAAGCAATGATTGAAGATTCTGAAATAAAAGATTAACATCAGCATATTTTTAATGCAACTCATTTCATATTTTTATTTCATCAAGCACAAAATATAATACAGAACCCCATAAAATACTGTTTCCATTTTTTTTTTTAAGGAAGTATGTTTACTTTCATACGTAACAGAAATCTGACCAACATGTTGGGCTCTGCCCACAAGGAGGCGCTATCACAGCATTTTTTAAAATATATACTAGCACTGTGTTCTTTTACTCTGTGTTATGTACTCTATGTTCTTTTTCATATCCACATTATGTCAAAATTTTCTTTTTAAAAATGTGGAGATATGCCCAAAGAAATGATAAATGCTTAAAGTGATGGCTACTCCATTTACCCTGATGTCATCATTATGCATTGTATGCTGTTATCAAAATAGCTTATGTACCCTGTACATATATACACATACTAGGTACCCATAAAAAAATTTTTTTTATGTGAAGGCACAGAGAAATTACAACTATGTTTTTGAGTAAGATCTAATTCCAGTGTTTACCATGTTCACAGTCTAAAATGTTCCTGTTTATACTACATGCCCTCAAAAATGCAGAACTCGGTTGAAGAACTAGTAAAAATTTTAAGGATACAGCTCAAAAAATTATTTTCCTAAAAATTTTATTTTAAATAATCTCTCAAAATATTTTAATTCTTTAATAAAAGCCTCAATAATTATGTTAGCTTGGCATTCATTAATAAACAATTATACCATTTTAATAAAGTAAAAATTGGGATATATTATTTAATAAATTACTATGCAAACAATTTAGTATTTTTTAGTTTTATTTTTAATTTTTGTGGGTACATAGTAGGTGTATATTTATGGGGTACATGAGATATTTTGATACAGGCATGCAACGTGAAATACGCACATCATAGAGAATGGGGTATCCAACCCCTCAAGCATTTATCCTTTGAGTTACAAACAATCCAATTACACTTATTTTAAAAATATACAATTTTATTATGTGCTACCAAATACTAGGTCTTATTCATTCTTTCTTATGCCACCATAGTAAGGCTGAATTTAAACGAACTAGTGCAATAGAGAAAAAGGCCAGTATAGATGAAAGTCTCTAGGCGCGATGGGCTGCAACTCAATGTTTCTATCATTCTAAAATCCCTCTGTTGAAATCCTGATCACCCAGGATAGTATTAGGTGGTGGAGTCTTTGGGAGATGGTTAGGTCATGAGGGTGGAGCACTCATGAATCGGATTAATGTCCTTATAAAAGAGATTCTAATGAGCTCCCTTGCCCCTTCCACCACGTGAGAACACAAGTAGAGGATGTTGTCTGTTAAACAGGAAAACAAGCCCTCCCCAGACCCGAATCTTCTGGTGCCTTGATCTTGGACTTCCCAGTGTCCAGACGATGAGAAATAAATGTTTGTTGCTTAAGCCTCCCATTCTGTAACAGTTTGTCACAGTGGCCCAAAAGGACTAGGACACTAGTAAATTAAACATCTTGTTTCCCAATTTGGTATTGGCTGTAATTTGGACTTGTTTTACTCCTAATACTTCTTTTAAAAGAAAATTGTACGATAATTAGCACAAATATTGAAATTATTTCCAAGCCTAGCTCTGCATCAGAATAAGCTAGAGTACTAAAAAAGATTTCTGAGACACCAGACTTGAATGACTCAAGATCTCTGCATGTAGGGCTCAATAATGTGTATTTCATAAATGCTCCCAAAGTGATTCTGATATATAATCAGGTTTGGAAATCAGGTATAACACCATTTTTATGGACAGAGTTTACTGCAAAACAGAGAAGACTCAAAATAGTTTAATGGTTTAGAAACTAATCATAATCAGTTATATCTCTCAGAAAGAATTTACCATTAGTAACCTATCTCTTCACACCCAGTGTGACATATAAAGTCCAGAATTTCAAATACTTTCATCCTGAAGCCATTTCAACAATCCCCCTTCCAAATCATCAGTACAGTCACATAGATCATGTTACCCCTAAGGCTAACAGTGACCAAATATTATTTACAGAGTGAGGCTATACTGCAATGGACTTTTCTCTTGGGCTTTTTTTGCTTATCTTTACACTTATATTTATAAGGCAGACCTCCAGTCTGTTGACCTTAAAAGAAAAATTTCTTTTCTACTCGACTCTCCCTGAGAAGGAGTTATTATAGTCAAGTCGCCCTTAAAAAGCAGGCTTGAAATACTAAGTAATTATGTTAATTATCCTAACATTTTTAGAAAGCTATTATACATCAGGAGGATCATGACAAACTGCCCACTTTTATAAAATTTAGTAACATGTATAGACAACTAAAAATCTCTGAAAATGCTTAATCCTTCTTAGGAACTTAAGTAGTACGTGGACTAGGAAATTCTGGGTCTTTTATACCCAATTAAGGTTTCTACAAGGGGTAAAAACTATCAGTATTCAAAAAGGCCAACCTATAAAATCGTTGATCTTATTCTGAAGATGTGCAAGGAGGCAATTTCCTCACTGTGTGACAATCTGAATCTGAATGGCAACCCCACTGGAATGACTACATTTGAAAAGTAAACCTTCCTCAATAAAACAGGTCATGGCAGATGCTAGATTTATCCCACCGCTTTAATGACAGGCAAACAAACACTTCTGTGGGTGAAGGACTGTTCTGGTTTGGAGTTTTTTCTTTGCTGGCTCTGGGTATTCAAATCGCTGACAGTTCTTAAAACACTTCAGATGATGAGTTTCCTTCTCCCTGAGACAACTCAGCTTTTCTTCTAAACCTTAAAAAAGTGACTCATCACATTTTTAAATAAGTATATAATAACTGGTTCTAATTAAAAGAAATGTAAAATGTCTTGTCTCTTTGATCAAGAGATATTTTTATCAGCTGAATCGACTTCAGAGTCAAATGCTGAACTGTGACTAAATAATGTGTGACTTCTGTAATGCTATATACAGTCGTCCTTGGAAATGAGACTGTTAACAAACTTCACATTTACTTCAACCTCTTCTCTTTCCACAAAAGGATTTGAGAGAAATAACCCAATAAATGCATGTCAAAACTAGTGGGTGAGCTATTCTCAACAATTTTAAAAGAAAATACATGTATTGTAAACATTTCCCTAAATCGATGCTGTTTAAAGTTTGGCCTGACATCAGGCAGTACTGCCACCTCCTGGCAGCTGATGAGAAATGCAAAAATCACAGGCCTCACCCCAGAACCACTGAATCAGAATCCACATTTTAACTGGATTCCCAGGTGATTTGGAAGCACATTAAAGTTGGAGAATCACTACCTTAAATACAATCTTCCAGAAGCAGCTTTAGTAGTGCCTAATAATTTGCATCCTATCATATGTGAAAATACTGCCCGAATATATCTTTAAAACAGCTTTTAAGTCTTGCAGGAATACCACATTAAGAAATATATTTAAAAGTACTAATGCCCAGGTCCCAGTGCTGAAGATTCTGATAAATTTGCCTGTGGTGGGATCTAGGTAAAAGGATTTTTAAAAAATACTCCAGGTAATTCTGATGTGGGGCACATCAGCACAGCGACCAAGCATTTTTTCCCTACACATCTGCTTTTAAATGCAGAGCAGTTACCAATCAATTTATAGCACCAAGAGCATCCTTTTATACTGGTTTCTCAAACTCCAAATTTCTGATGCAGTAGGTCAGAATCAGTGGGTGGGGCCCCAGAATGGGCATTTCTAAAAAGTTTCCAAGTGATACAGCTGCCAGTGTTCACAGGACCACACTCTGGGAGCCACCAATTTATCAGATTATAATACTTACTTCAGAAAGCTATCTGAGAAAAAGTACTGAAGGTTGTGTTTGTATGGCTCGTTATTTTCTAAGAGTGGGTAAGACAGGAGCATTCTGAATCTGAGTGTCTTTCCTGGGCCACCAGGTCCCAAGATCCTGACTGGACTGGAGGAGTGGGGGCAATGACATGAGGATCTGAGTGCAGTCTTAGTGCCCTACAGTTCAGCATTCAGTGGCTGCTTAATAAATTACCTGATGACTGATGATCTTTAAATTAAAATGCTACATGTGGCAATGTGTAACACTGTCATAGCAATTGCTACAAATCATAACATTCAGGTCAAATAAATATTTTACTCACCAAACCCCACAGAGCACCAGGAGAGGTAGCAGTGATTGTAGCTGCTCTGGGTGTATTGTACATTAAGGCCAGTTCGCCGAAACTCCCACGATTATCATAGTTACCAACACATCTTCCGACGCCATCACATTTCACATAAATATCATATGTGCCTCTGTTGGACATATGTAGATTGGAGGTTAATTCAAATAAAATCTCATTAAAATAAAACATTATTTCAGAAAAGAGCCCTGTGAAATAAAATCGTATTTCCAGCCTGTTTATCCCCTCCGATGACAAGTAATAAAGGGGAATCCATCTGTGCCATCTGTTCCAGACCATGTGCCTGTTGGGAAAAATGGAACTAACCAATAAAAATTTGGAATAACAAATGATAAAACTATAACTAAAGACTATAACCAAATAGTATATGCATAAAAAACCACCTGGAGAGGCCAGGCCTCACGCCTGTAATCACAGCACTTTGGGGGGCCGAGGCGGGCAGATCACCTGAGGTTAGGAGTTTGAGACCAGCCTGGCCAACATGGTGAAACCCTGTCTCTACTGAAAATATAAAATATTAGCCAGGTGTGATGGTGGGATCCCATAATCCCAGCTACTCGGGAGGCTGACGCAGGAGAATCGCTTGAACCTGGGAGGTGGAGGTTGCAGTGAGCCGAGATTGTGCCACTGCACTTCAGCCTGGGCGTCAAGAGCGAAACTCTATTTCAAAAAAAAAAAAAAAATCATCTGAAGAGGCTGGGTGTGATGGCTTACTTACACCTGTAATTCCAGCAATTTGGAATTCCAAGGTGGGAGGATCACTTTAGCCCAGGAGTTCAAGACTAGCCTGGGCAACATCGCAAGATTCGATCTCTACAAAAAAATTAGCCTTAAAAAATGAAAGAAAATCATCTGAAGAAACATTTATCAAACCACTGACTATGGTTATCTAAGAGCACAAGAATAGTGAGGGATTCTAGGCACATTGGCTATTTAAGAGTTTCTATTTGTAACATGAACACATTATTACTTTTGTGATCAGAAGAAAGTAACTTTTTAAGAAGAATCTAGCTATAGCAATTTGGTTAGCCACTACTCTACAAAACTTACTAGTGTCCTTTATAATCTATGGCAGAGGTTGGCAAACTATAGCCCACAAACTGGCTATCTGCTTTTGTAAATAAAGTTTCACTGCAATTATAAACACTCTTGTTTGTTTATGTGTTATCTATGGCTGGTTTTATGCTACAACTGCAGAGCTGAGTTGTTGCAACAGAGAACATATTGGCCTGCAACGCCAAAAGTATTTACTCTCTGGCCCTTTACTTTAGATCAACCCCCATTCTAAAGTTAAAAAGTAGAAATTCAGACTAGATATCTAACTCTAGTCTTTTCACAGTTTTTTGGTGTTTATCTTTTAACTGGGGTTCTTTTTCTAGGCAAATAAGGTTCAGTTTGCATGTCACTGCACTTCATATTACCCAGACCCTATATTCATGTAAACTGCATTCTTCGTGTGGATGACTGACTTTCCACATACTGTATTTTATCAGAGAACATGCTTTCAAGGCTTGCACCTATGAGGGCAGACAGAAAAAATTCTTTGGCTTATATTCTGTTGATTAAACCCTAACAAAGACAAAGGGTGGGGCTGTGCTGCTAAAAAAAAAAAAAAGTGGCTTTTAACATTAGAAAATTATTATGCCCAGGCCTGGTACCTCATGCCTCTAATTCCAATGCTTTGGGAGGCCAAGATGGGAGGATCATTTGAAGCCAGGAGTTCAAGACCAGACTGGGCAACATAGCAAGACTCTGTCTCTACAAAAAACTGAAAAATTAGTCAAGCATGGTGGCACATGCCTGTACTCCTAGCTACTTGGAAGGCTGAGGCAAGAGGATCGCTTAGGCCCAGGAGTTCAAGGCTGCAGTGAGCTGCAACTGCACCACTACACTCCAGCCTAGGCAAGAAAGTGAGACACTCTCCCTGTCCCTCCAAAAAAGAAAGAAAAGGATTATTAATAATAAAGAAGCAATAAGAGCAGAAACATGATAGACAATAGATATTATTACTAAGGAAGAAAATAATTGGTTTCACGGCCAGACCACAGTGGCTCATGCCTGTAATCTCAGCACTTTGGGAGGCTGAGGTGGGCAGATCACAAGGTCTGGAGTTTGAGACCAGCCTGGCCAACATGGTAAAACCCCACCTCTACTAAAAATACAAAAAAACTAGCCGGGCGTGGTGGCAGCCACCTGTAATCCCAGCTACCTGGGAGGCTGAGGCAGGAGATTCGCTTGAACCCAGGAGGGCGGAGGTTGCAGTGAGCCGAGACCACGCCACTGCACTTCAGCCTGGGCAACAGAGCAGATTCCATTTCAAAAAAAAAAGGAAAAGAATTGGTTTTCAATGTAATTCATGGATAGAATGACTGTTTCGAGGGAAACTACTAGAATTTGTCCCATGGATAATCATTTTTCAAGTACAGGTTGAGTTTCTCTCATCCAAAATTTTCAGAATCAGAAGTGTTATAGATTTTAGACATTTTCAGATTTTAGAATATTTGCATATACAGAATGAGGTTATCTTGGGAATGAGACCTAAGTCTAAATACAAAATTAATTTATGTTTCATATATACCTTATACATACAGTCTGAGGATAATTTTATTTAATATTTTAAGTAATTTTGTGCATGAAACCAAATTTGTGTACACTGAACCATCAGAAAGCAAAGGTGTCATTATCTCAGCCACCCATGTGAACAATCTGTGGTTGGTTCAGCATTACCATCATTCCTGACTCTCAATTTATATGCTACCAATAAGCCATCATTTTTTACTTGTATTCACACATAAGTACTCAACAGTAAAAAATATGACATACCATTAATACAATAAAAAATAATGTGTTTGGGGTAACTAAGCAGCACAGCAGCATCCCCAGAGTACCTGCACCGGCTGCCAAACAAGAGCAACCACAAACAATGGCAGGCCTGCAGTCTCCACCTACAATGCTGTGTTCTGATTAAAGTTACTGTACGTCATACACTAACCCCTTCGGGGATGCTGAATAAGCTGTTGTGTGCCTGCATTTTGACTGTGAACCATCACATGAGGTCAGGTGTGGAATTTCCACTTGTGCCATCATGTTGGCGCTCAAAATGCTTTGGAGTTTGGAGCATTTCAGATTTTTAGACTAGCAATGCTATAGATTAAACTCCTCAATTTACTAAACTATTTACACTTTTGCACTGAAACTGTTCTCTACACTCACTACTTTGAATAGGGTAAAACACAGCAAAATGTGCTGAGGAAAAGTAAAATGAGCTACCAGTACAGTTGAAATCACATCAGTCTAAAGTCTGTTAAAATACCGCAGGCTAGGCCAGGCACACTGACTTACACCTGTAATCCCACCACTTTGGGAGGCCAAGACAGGCAGATCACCTGAGGTCAGGAGTTCGAGATCAGCCCGGCCAACATGGTGATACCTCGTCTCTACTGAAAATACAAAAATTAGCTGGGTGTGGTGGCAGGCACCTGTAGTCCCAGCTACTCCGCAGGCTGAGGCATGAGAATCGCTTGAAACTGGGAAGCAGAGGTTGCAGTGGGCCGAGGTCACACCACTGTACTCTAGCCTGGGCGACAGAGCAAGACTGTGCAAAAAAGAAAAAAAAAAACCTTGGGCTGTTTTTTTCACACAGATTTCTTCTCTGATAATGTGAGGCCTCAGGCAGGGCAGAGCCCCAGAAAGAGAATGAACAGGGCAAGAGACCTGGCTGTGGAGTTGGCTCTACCCCAGTCATTTGGGGGATCTGAACCAAGTGCTGTTACTTCTGTGTGCCTGCATGTTTTCATCTATCAAATGGGTGACTAGGATCTAACTGAAAAGGGAATAGACTATATACAAGTGTAAGGCAGTTTTGAAAGTCAAAAATCCCCACTAAATGATTAAGATCGTAGAGGGTTAGGGTTTCTCATACACTTCTACAATTAAACACACTTAGGTGCATTTCTGAGGTGTTGCACCGATGAAAGCTATTAATGATATAAAAATCATTATTTTGATTCACATATAGATAACTGGTTTATTCTACTCTAAAATCTTGGCTAATACTTCAGTCATAGGTCACCAGGCATTAGGGATGAGGGAATGGGACAATCAGTGAAAACTCTTGATTTAAAGAGCATGAGCGACTGATGCATGAAAGATACCACCCACAGAGCCAAAATAATGAAATGAGGCTTCAGGAGACCAAAGAGGTCATTTTCACCAAGACCTCTGAGGTGAACACAACTCGACCCAGAGAGAAAACATAATCCAGTGAGTCAGGCTGGGAGAGGACCTGCGTTCCACACAGAAGGGGAGGGGTCAGGGATGCGAACACTCATCATTGTTTTACAAAAGTGAAGAAATAAAGGAGTCAGCTCAGGCTGCGCTGCTGTCAGATTTTAGGATTCATCTATTGCATAAGGCACATTGTTCTATGATGAGGTAAAGCACAACTTAAATTTCTTGAAAATAGATTTTCAACATAAACGTAAGATTTCTTTAAATAATTATAGAGTTTTTAAGACAAATATAATAATATACAATTCTTGGAAGGATGCACAAACTACTCACTATACAGACTGGATGATGTTGAAGCAGCAGGAAGACAGACTTACTTTTCACCTTATGCCCCTGTGAAGTATTTGCATTTTCTATTTTTATTTATTTATCTATTTATTTATTATTTGAGACGGAGTTTCACTCTTGTTGCCCAGACCGTAGTGCAAATGGCGCAATCTCGGCTCACTGCAACCTCAACCTCCCAGGTTCAAGCAATTCTCCTGCCTCACTCAGCCTCCCAAGTAGCTGGGATTATAGGTGTGTACCACCATATCGGGCTAATTTTTCTTGTATTTAGTAGAGACGGGGTTTCACCATGTTGATCAGGCTAGTCTTGAACTCCTGACCTCAAGTGATCCACCGGCCTCATCCTCCCAAAGTTCTGAGATTACAGGCGTGAGCCACTGCACCCAGCCAATTCTGAATTTTTTAAACCATGAGCATGTTTTACATAGTTAAAAAAAAAAAAACTTTTAAGAAATACCAATTGAAGTCTACTGTGAATTAACATCTTAGATGCCATATTATACTGCTGTTCTTACTGTAATAGGCATCTAGTACATACTAATGCCATCACACATCTCTCAATTAGAATTTGGCAAATGAAGATGCTCATGTTAAATGACTGACATTTACAGATTAGACTAACCAAAAGTCATCAGTTCCTCTATAACCTATGCCTCTTTTCATGATCCACTGTGGCTTCACTGCATGTACTCACAACAGGTTTACAGTGCCTACTATGTAGTAATTAGAGTAGTGGCAATAACAACTATCCTGTATTAACCTGTCAGTTGCCATAATAATGGTTGAGATTTTACACAAAAGGTTCTTTAAATTTCAATAGTAAGGCTGGACAAAACTTACCTATCAATTACATAAAAGTTGTCACCATCGTCACCTTGATCAATTACATGCTCCCCATCTTTGACCAATTTTTCAAACATGGCATCTAATACTTGAGACATCTGCTCCTATTTTTAAAAAAGATGGGATATAATCTTTACGTTTATCTAGGACATGTTTTCTTAAGTAACCATAATTATATTTCTGTGAACAAGTCCAAAGAAATGGAAATATCATAACTACCATTAAATGTTGTCAGAAAAATATACAGTAGTCTTTCTTACCACATACAAATAATTATATTACAAATATATAAAAATGATTATATACTTTCATATTCAGTATTTGAATGAAAGTAATTATAATTAGTCTGTTTCAGAATATTTGCAACTATCACCACTTTAAAATGAAAATTTAACCACCAAACCACCACATACCTTGTGAAATATAATCTTAGCAACTAAAAGGATTAGGTTAGTAAGGAATTATTTCAAATTTCTTTTAAAGATACCCATTTTTAAAAACTTCCTTAGTCATCACTAAAACCTGTGTACAGATAACCTAAATACTTGGTGAATTTAGATCCTGATTCCAATCTTCTTTTTGGTTTAGCACCAAAATAAAAACAGAACAAAATAGAAAAACAACAAAGCGAACCAAAAATGACTGTGGCAAATAATATGTCACTATTCACTGTCACTAAGGTTGGCTTCAAGCTGCAACCACTGGGCTCACTAGGGCAGATTTGTCAGAAACATCCAAAATATTATTCAACAACTAATTAAACTATGTAAAATGTTTATTCTGCCAAAGTGTGATTGACAAGGCTCAAGGATAAACTTCAAACTAATAAGAATAAACTAGGAGGTGAAAGAAATCTTTAATCAGAACAAATACCAGAATAATTCAAAGAACTTCGAAAAGACAGAATAAATGGATATGAGGAAATGATACAATATAATGGAAATCTAAAGACTTAGAGGGTTATTTGTTCTCCTACTTATTAGCTCTGAGCCTTTGGTCAGGTCACTCCTTATGGGTATACAAAAGGTGTAATGCTAACTGCCCATGCCAAAATCAATTACTATTATACATAAATTAAGGAGTTGAAGATAGATTCAAAGCGGAAAAAAGATGCAAGTGGAAAACACAGGTTGAAGAAACAAGATATTCTGGATAGAGAGGATAACAGATCACATGTGATTCTCTTCCTTTGAGACCACATGAAAATGTTACAAGGCATATGAAGATATGAATCTACAATTGTATAGAGTACAGGAAGGGAAAACTGATGGATGAGAGAGTTTCAGGGCGAAGGTAAGTAACATGTGGCAGAGAGAGCTGCCCCAAGTAGCACAGGTGAGACTGCAGTGTGGAGGGGCCAATATGCCTTGTGGAGCACCAGGAGGCTCCCAAGTGGGTAACACCTGGCTCTGCCGGCGTGGGACTGAGACACAAAGCTAAAAACAAGCGGACTGATTTAAAGTCCTGCAGAGATTAGTTGACACCTTCCTTCAAAATCCCTCTACCCTAATACAGAATGCCTAGCAGCCAAATGTGGACTCTCAACTCTTCCCAGACAAAAGATCAGAGAGAAACTAAACAAATTAGAACTAGAACAGATACGGTGAACACTGGTGCCCTAGAACAAAAACCTTCACTTGGTAGGACTTAGGGGTTCCCCAATGTAACAGCTGGCTCCCTGTCAGCTCAAGCTAAACAGTGCACTGGTTGACAGACCTGCCCTACTTACCCAGAGCTCTAAATCAGCTTTATGTTGCTCCCCTGGTAGCCCACAAGACTAAGATAAACAGCAAAATGACAATACATGAAATAGATATTTCAGGAATCATAGAGAGCTTTTGCAGAGACATTTAAGATGATATATCCATGAGACCAAAAAACAAAATAGGATAGTTAGGAAAAGAGCAAATCAGAGAAAAATGTGTAGCTTGGAAATCAAAAATATGATGGTCTTTTTTTTTTTTTCCCCCCCCTTTAAAACAGATTTTTTTTTGGCAGGGTGCAGTGGCTCATGGCTACAATCCCAGCACTTTGGGAGGCCAAGGCAGGCAGATTGCTTCAGCCCAGGAGTTTGAGACCAGCCTGGACGACACGGCAAAACCCTGTCTCTACCAAAACAAATAGCTGGGCACGGTGGTGCACACCTGTAGTCTCAGCTACTCGGGAGGCCGAGGTCGGAGGACTGCTTGAGTCTGGGAAGTTGAGGCTTCAGTGAGCTGTGATCACACCACTGAGTTCCAGCCTGGGCAACAGAGTGAGACTCTGTCTCAAAAAAATGAGCAGTCTCAGCTACTCAGGAGAGGCCGAGATTGGAGGACTGCTTGAGCCTGGGAGGTTGAGGCTGCAGTGAGCTGTGATTGCTCCACTGCACTCCAGCCTGGGCAATAGAGTGAGACTCTGTCTCAAAAGTAAAAAATAAAAAATAAAATAGACTTTTTTAAAGCAGTTTTAAGCTCATAGGAACATTAAGCAGAAAGTACAGACATACTCCACATATCCTCTGCCCCCTACACATGGCACAGACTCCCCCATGATAAACATCCTCCACCAGAGTGGCAAATTTGTTACAAGTGATGAATCTACACTGACATCATTATCATTCGAAGTCCATAGTTTATATTAGGGTTTGCTCTTGGTGTTGTACATTCTATGCGTTTGACAAATGTATAAAGACATGTATCCACCATTACAATTTCTTTAAAGGTAAATAAAAGAGTAAGAAGATAAATCACCAAACACCTCAAAAAAAAAAAAAGTCAATAAAGAGATGAAAAGAAAGGAGTGTCAGAGACAGTAACAGAGAAAACAAAAAGGAGGAAATATAAACAATACAGGATGAATTTTGTAGACCCAAAGGACACAGGTTTTCAGACCAAAAGGGCACACTCAAGTACCCAGCACAATCAATGACCATAAATCCCCACACTAGGATGAAAGAATGTGTTTTTAGAACACTAAAGATAAAAGATCTGCAAAGCTTCCAGAAAAGAGAAAGGGGGATTCTTAGAAACATGAAAAGTTACTCAACTTCTCTCAAAATGAAGAGAAATCCAAATTCAAATCGAAATGAGATGCCACTTTTCACTCGCCAGATTCAAAAAGATACAAATGTTAGAATATCACACTGTGTTGGAGGCCGTGTGGGAAAAGAGGCATTCTCACACAGACTTCTGGTGAGAAGGTAAAATGGAACAAACTCTAAAAAAGCAATTTGTCAAAATTTAATAAAATTTCAGATATACATAATCTTCTACCTCACTGTTCCTTTTCTAGGAAGTTATTATATAGCTATTTATAAAATGCATCACCATTTTTCTTTGCATCACAATAGCAGAAGACTGGAAACAAACTAATAGTTTATCAACAGGGCACTGGATAAATAAACTGTCATAGATTCATTCACCAAAAAGCTCTGCTGCTGTAGGCATATAGGGATTTTCAGACACCTTTCTTTCAAAGGAGTCACTGGCAGCAAGAGAACACTAAAAGAAGGGTAATCAAGAAATGTGAAAACCTGCAATGGGGGAATTTCAGAAAATAAGGCATTTAGGTGACAGAAAAGAAGACCCATATGAGAATACATCAGCTATCTTCTGTTCAAACCATGACATCAGTAGTTCTAGAGGCCATAACTGGGACTGTTGGGTGGAAGTTTCATGAAGGTTTTGGGACAATGTAAAGACCTGCCCAGGAACGAGAGCTGTCTAGCAGTGACAAGGGCTGCCTTGCAAATAATTTTGCCTTTTCCAGAATGTTAAATAGTTGGAATCATGCAGCACACAGCCTTTTCACAATGGCTTCTTTCACTTAATATTATGCATTTAAGGTTCTTCCATGTCTTCCATGTCTTTTCATAACAAGATCACTCATTTTGTCCACTGTCTAGATGTACCACAGTTTATTTATCCATTCACATACTGAACAACATCTTGGTTGCTTCCAAGTTCTGGCAATTTTGAATAAAGCTGCTACAAATAGCTGTGTACAGGTTTCTGTGTGGACCTAAGTTTTCAACTCCTTTGAGTAAATACCAAGGAGCATTACTGCTGGAGAGGATGGTAAGAGTATGTTTAGTTGTAAGAGACACCACTAAACAATCTTCTAAAGTGACTGTACCATTTTGCATTCTCACCAACAATGAGTTCTTAAACCACCTATGTTCACCAGCATTTGGTGCTGTCAGTGTTCCGAATTTTGGCCATTCTAATAGATGTGCAGTAGTATCTCATTGTTGTTTTAAGTTGCATTTCCCTGGTGACATGTGATGTGGAGCATCTTTTCATATGCCATTTGTGTATCTTTTTCAGTGAGGTGTCTGTTAACATCTTTGGTCCATTTTTTAATCTCATGGTTTACTACTGTTGAGTTCTTTGTATATTTTGGATAACAGTCCTTTATCAAGCTGTGTCTTTTGGAAATATTTCCTCCCAGTCTGAGACCATCTTTTCATTCTGCTGACGTGTCTTTTGCAGCAAAGAAATTTTTAATTTTAATGAAGTCCAGCTTATCAATTCTTTCTTTCATGGATGTGCCTTTGGTGTTACATCTAAAAAGTTATCACAAAATCTAAGGTCATCTAGATTTTCTCCCATGTTATCACCTAGGAATTTTATAGTTTTGTATTTTACATTTAGATCTGTGGTCTATTTTGAGTTAATTTTTGTGAAGAATATAAGGTCCATTTCTAGATTCATTTTTCAGAAGTCTAGTTTTTCCAGCACCATTTGTTGAAAAGACTATCTTTACTTCATTGTGTTGCCTTTGCTCCTTTGTCAAAGATCAGTTAACTTCATTTAAGTGGGGCTGTTACTGGGTTCTCTGTCCTGTTCCACTGATCAATTTGTACATTCTTTTGCCAATACTATACTGTCGTGATTACTGTCACTTTATACTAAGTCTTGAAGTCAGTTAGTATTAGTACTTTAACTTTGTTCTTTTCCTTCAATATTGTGTTAGCTCTGCTAGGTCTTCTGCCTCTCCAAACTTCAGGATCAGTTTGTTGGGATTGCAGTGAATCTACAGATCAACTTGGGAAAAACTGACATCTTGACAATACTAGGTCTTCCTATCCATGAACATGGAAATCTCTCCATGTATTAAGTTC